TTTAGGCAAGCCAGGGGATGGATGAGGTATGCTTCTCCATTGTCAAAATCAGATGGGCCACGAAGTACAATACCCATCAGGGCTGCTGTAGGACTCTAATGGCCATCGACAGAGCTCCCACATTTCCATATTGGATGACATCTTAGAGCTAGCCTAGTCCAACTGTCTCCTTTTCTTGATGATGAAACCAAAAATCAGAAATATTAAATTCTTTGCCAAGGTTATACAGTTGGTAAGAGACAGAACCAAGACTGCTGGAGATTTTTTTGGGTCACTTTGGAGTGTTCTCTCATTATTAAGATGCTAATAGATACTATGTCTGATATGCAAATGAATATATCAAAAGTAAAACAATTTCAGGAAACTCTTTAATGCTGGATATTCAATATTAAGTAACAGAGAGAGGAGTGTGTTGACTTCAAAGAATGTCACAAATTTCTAGGCAGGAGAAGCCTATGGGTGCACCTAGGAAAACAAATTCTTCTCTTTGTTCTTTAGGGAATTGACTGGCATTCTCCGCAAGGACCTTATTCACCAGACTGTAAGGAGACTTCACAAATATTAAGGAAAAAAAAAAAACCTTTCTATTTTAAGCTGCAGCTTCAATATCCAAACAAGTACCTACTATATAATGTACATGTGAATGTCAATGTGTGCATGTTTTGGGCATATGTGTCTTTGTATGCCTGTGCATGTGTGTGCCTACGTTTGTATATGTGCATACCTGATTTGTATGTATTCATATGTGTGTGTTTACCTGTGTTTGCACAATGCATACATGTCTCTGTGTACCTATGTATATATGTGTTCTACATGTGTGTTTGTGTGTGCACTCAAGCCTCATGCACAGCGAGCAGGCGCGTCCTTCACACTGGAGAGAATTTTGTGCTGATTTGTTCCCTGAGACTGCCCCTTAACAGTTTTGCTTCTTGAGCAAGTAGTTACATTGTTTTTCTGAATCTCAGTGTTCTTATCTATAAAATGGTATGCATAATACCATGAAAGAAGTGAACCAGTGCGTTTTCAGTCCCACAGCCATTTTAGTAATTAAATTGAATTAACTGCATTTGCACAAAATTTGGTCATATTTTATAGGATCTTTAATAGATTTGCCTCCCAAACAACCAACTTTGGTATTTACATGTACAGATTGCCTTTGTGAAAATGCACACTATTTTAATTAATCCTTATGGCAGCTCCGTGAATGAAGCACAGTTATCTCTACATGTGAGCAAACAGATTCTGAGCTGTAAGCAAACTGAGATCTTGAAGTGTAATGATCTTCCTAGAGTCATCCAGGGAGTTTCTGCAGGGCAGGGACACAAAACCACATCTGTCTCCAAAGCCAGCCTTGCAATTATTCTCAACTTCGCCTCACCTCTGCCGAAAGCTATTGTGAAGAACAATGCCGTGGCTGTGGAACTGGCATTGGCACCTGGTTCCCTTTACCCAGCTAATGTTTGCCCTCTTCTCTGACACACTGGTTTCCCTGGATATCTCAGCTAGCACATGATTTCTAAAAGTCAACCGACCATTCTGCCCTGGTAGAAGGAGAGACATTTGAGAAAAATTCAAATGGGTCAGTGAAGGCTGGCTTCATTGAAAAGGGCATATGCTGGCACATCTTAACAGCACCTCGTGTTACTGGACTTGCCTTGCAAGCTTTTGACAGCCACTGAACTGCAGCACCCACTGCACCTAGTATTCAAACCAGGAAGAAACAGAAGGAGAACTGCCAGGATGTTTCCGCCTAATCCCTTCCAAATCTCTCCAGTCTCATAAATCCTTGAAGTCTTCAAATATGGAATTAAAAGAACTTGGTTTGCAGAAGCATTATGGTCAGAGGAAGCCCAAGTACTGAGCTATGAGATTCAGAAAAAACAGAGGGACAAGAATATTACCACAGGGTTGGCTTTGAAACTCGTTTGAATACAGTTACTGAGAAAGAAAAGCAAACCCCTATTTACAAAATTATTATTTTTGTTTAGCAAGATATATTGAGTCAATTTTGCACAGAAAATTGCATAGCAAAGAAAACTCTCAGTAGAGCCCTTTGAAAGCAATTTAATATTTGTAATAAGGCAAATCTTTCTGACTCTCAACTATTTAGCTATGAAATTTTAAAATCCAATGAAAGGCTGACTTCAATAAATGCTGCTTTACAAATGTTATTGCCCGTGTAACAACCTGAGAATATGACATTCTTTAGACACTTAAATTTAATCATAATGACAAATACTGAACTTTTAAAACTGTCCTTCATGTAATTGAGCATAATTTGGTGCTTTTAAAACATGGGTTTGCTTTTCTGATACACTGTATCTCAGAATTGTAAATAAGGTCAATTTACCCAGCAGCTTGCGAATTTCTGAGCAATTGTGCCTTATTTCCAAGCAGTCATTTAGAAATATGAAGCACAATATTTTGTATGACATATAAGAACATTTGAGAGGTCTTGCATCTCAATTATTAACAGTTCTTCAAAATATCTGGGCAGGAGTTAGTCCCATCATGAAATGATGACACCATGGCCACAAGTGACACGACATGGCCAGTCTCTCTGTCTGTGAGACAGAGTAGGGAGCCATTTTCCTCATTTTGGCTGGCCGGCCTTCCTTCCTTCCCCCCTTTTCTTTTCTTTTTTCTTTTTCTTTTTCTTTTCTTACAGAGTTTCGTTCTTATTGCCTAGGCTGGAGTGCAATGGCGTGATCTTGGCTCCCACAAGCTCTGCCTTCCAGGTTCAAGTGATTCTCCTGCCTCCCCAACTAGCTGAGATTACAGGCATGTGCCACCACACCAGGCTAATGTTTTTGAATTTTTAGTAGGGATGGAGTTTATCTATGTTGGTCAGGCTAGTCTTGAACTCCCGGCCTCAGGTGATCCGCCTGCCTTGGCCTCCCAAATTGCTGGATTACAGGCATGAGCCACCATACCCGGCCAGAATTTCCTTCTTTCTAAAGGGCTGTAGATAGCAAACTGGACTAGTCTCCAGTAGATCTGGGATCTGAGCTATGTTCTAAAGCCATGTTGCCTCTCAGACTCAGATTCTTCCTCAGTAAGATCAGGATAATTATAATAGTAAGAGGATGTCATGCAACACAACATATGAAACTGTTTGCAAGTCAAAATCCACCTCTTTTAAGTCAGTCAGTATTAACGTCTTTATACTTGTTTCTCTGTATATCTGTTCTCACCAGAATCAAATACATGACACTGGCCTTGTTGGCAGCATACTCCCACTCACTGTTTAAAGCTGCCCTTTCTATTGCTACAGACTGGTCATAAAATATTTCCCTGAGAGTCACACAACTATGTGAATGAACCAACATAAACCACTCCACTGCTAGAAAAGCAAATTTGGCCTTCATATGTCTATTGAGGGGGTCTTCCCAGCTATCTCTCTGGAATTGCAGACCCTTACATATTTCCCATTCCCCACCACAGCTTTGCTTTTCTCCATGACAAACTTACCATCATAAATATACTTTATTTTAATTTATCTGTCTGATTTACCGTGTCCTCCATTAAGTTGTAAGCTCCACTTGGGCAGGGGTATTTGTTTTATTCACTGTCACTTGCTTTGCACCAAGAACAATAATCGACATAGAAAAATGAAGGAATGATGACCAGCTTATGGTTGTTACACAAATGCTCATATACCCGCAGCTAAGAAAAGCTAGAAATGGCTCACTACCAAGCTTATAATGCTGTTAATGTTTCCATTCTGATACGTCAAAACCCATAAAAGTGTGTTCATTTTTAATGTTTTCTACTATTGGCTTCGTCAGCAGTTTCCTAAACTAGTAATTTGTGTCTTTTCTCTCTGTGAAGAAGGAATATAGCTTGTGCCTCACATATTAATCTTAAAACATAAGAAATAAAAGGAAATTTCCCCCTCCTTTTAGAGCTTACATGCAAATTCCAAATCTACTCTTCTGAGCAGTTACCCACCATTTAATGTTCATAAATTCCCAGTGTATACTCAATTGCAAGAAACCAAAGCAAGATTATAAACAGCACTAATAATAAGCAGGCACAAAATTTTTACTACCCTCCGTTCCCACAGCATTTGGGAGATGTGTCAAATTACCCTGTGGTAGACTGGTAAGAGGGAGTTGGGTTAGAAATCATGGCCCAACTGCTAGTGACACGGTTTCCAAATTTTACAGCTTGGGAGTCACTAGGTATTTAGAAAACTCTACCTTTGTTCATTAGTTGCACATGTAGAAGATGCGCCTACAGGGATCTTTAAAGAAAAAGTATATTTGGAGCAGAAGAACAGAAAAACAGAATCCAAGGACAGTGTTGCTTTCATGAATCTTTAAGAGGGACTTTCCTCTATGGTTATATAGTTACACAAAGAATGGACAGAGTCTGACAATAACAGGAAGAGGACGCTTCTCCCTGTATTTAATTCCCTCAGGTTTCTGACTCCTTGACTTTGAAAAATACTTCATTTTGTAGGATCTTCTTAAATAAAACTGCACTTTGCTTGTGCAAGAAGAAACAGAATGTAATTCTATTTCTATTTCTAGAGCCAATGCAAACACTTATTTGTTAGATGTTGTTGAAGAGAGCGTAAAATGATGCAGATGGTAGTGGTCAAGTGTCTCAATGTCTTCCCTTTCTACCTAGGATTTTCCTGCTTTCTTCTTGACCTTCACTTGGCTGCCTTTGCAATGCTTACAGGGAATTTTCCAGACAAAGCCTAGTGATGGGCTATTTGTGAATTAGAGACACAAAGCACTTTAAATTGATCTTGTCTATTTCCAGCAAGATGCAATATAGCCAGAGAAAACTGTCATGTTTGAAGACATTTTCTTCCTCTAGATGGTCTACAGAGTCTCTAAAATGCACATGTATGTAACAAACACGCTTATTTTTTCTTTTAATTTTGCCATGGCAGCCCTTTGGTGCTTTGCCATAGACCAGTAGTCAGCAGGAAAACTCAGCTCAGATTGGGCCATTTTACTTTATAATACGCAGAGAAAGGCACTCACCAGCACTGACAGTGATAGCTTCAATGAACTGTTCTCTCCAGCTGTTTGTCCCAACCACAAGGGCCAGGTTTGTCTTCTTAATGAGTTTGTCCACAGTACTCTAGAAAGGTTGAAATGAATAATATAAGTGCTGAGTGTGTTAAGGCCTCAGGAAATCTAAGAACTTGTTGATTTTGAAACTCCAGAGTTATATAAAAGGTAGCAGATGTTAGGCTCAGAACAACAGTATTGACATCAAACACTGTTATGATTATGCAAACAAGCATGCTCCTTAGTTGGAAACATTCTGAAATGGAAACTTCTTTGTAGCGAATACAAGTCTCCACTGACTAATGGCCAATGAAGAATAGCCTCAGTGTTTAGAATAGCAGATGCTGCAAAAGCCCATCCATTCCCAGAATGCTTTACTAACTTGCTTCTCTACTGGTTTCATCTGTAATGTTCCGTCTGCGAGTGGATTAATATATGCCCTGCTCAGCACTACGTATCTGCGAGTAGCTAGAAGTGACAGATTATGAAACCGAAAACTATTGTTACTGTTTTTTGTTTATCAATGAAATGAAGCCAGATAATGGCGTCTCCAGGTTGCCAGCTGCATAGTCATCGGTAAATAGATTTTTCTCTGGGTCCTAGTTGGTCAGTCTCTTGTCTGTTAGAGAATTCCATGCTCACCCTATTCCTATTGCATACAAGAACAGACAATAAGCCAAGACAAGAAAAGGTCAGTCTTATGGTTTAGGGCACGTTGCAGTTTACCTTGTCCCCGTCTCCCCTGCTTTACTGGCACTGTACTGCATACCCCTTGTTTTTCTCTGGAACTTTTTAAGCACTTTGTTTTGTACAATTAGCACTTTCTTGCTTTCTAAATTCAGTTAATGTAACAACAGGAGCAGCCCAACGACCACAAGAAAACTAAGCAGAAGCACTGAAAGCACTACCACAAGTCATGGCAACTACAGGGAGAAGGGCCATTTCCAAGACACTAAGGCTGCCCTTCCCAGAGAAACTACCACATTGACTATTCTACCAAAAGTCCACACTTACTGTCAGAGCAGCCTCGAATTTCCACTAATTGCAAAGAGGTAGAAAACACATATTATTTGCCATAGCTCAAATTCTGTATATGTTTAATACAATGTACCTGAATTGATGATAGTTTGTGAGAGAGCACATTTTCAGCTAACTGAGAGGAGGCAAAATGCTATCTAAAGGGCTTGTATGAAAGGCCAATGCCAAATCCTAATATCAAGCATGTTTGCTCGAGAAGTCATTGGAACTGAGTTGAAATATTGAGCAGATAATAAGCATGAAAGGGCCCATCTCCAACTGGCTTACTCTTTATTTGTGACATTATTCTTGGCTGAATTGTTTGTCCTTAGGGTGATGACCTTTCAGCTTCTAGCTTTGTGTTGAGAACTGCTGGTACCCCTGATAACAGCTATAGCAGTCACTGCTCTTGGCCACCATCATTTAAAGCACATGACCAGCATCTGTCTTTCCTCCCTCAACTCAGCCACATCTCATCAAGTACCCTGACCATCCTCAGTGATACAAATTCAAAGTGCCCTGTAGAATGTAATAAGAAATGACCTCAATTTTTCCTAGTGTAATGGAAACTTGGGACAGCTCTCTCTAAGGAGGCACTCTTTGTGCTGAATCCATGACGGAGTATCCCATCACCTGGGAAATTAACAAATGAACAGATAAATTTCTCTAACATTGAGTATAGACTTTACTCAAGAAATTGCTCCTAAAAACAAACTTTTAAGATAAACTAAACTTCTATGTGTAAAACCCAGGGTAGATTTTAAACTGTAGTTCATGTTAACCCCATATCCAGGGTTCTTCCTAGGACTTAATTTGCACATGTGTCCTTCCTTGACCTCTGGGAGAAACAGTAATTAATAAAGACGAAGTTGAACTTCAGACACCTGAGCCTGGACACTGCTGTCTGTATCTACCTGGGGCGATTCCGAAATGTCAGTGATCAGTTTTTCACTGCACTAGATTTTCAAGGGCTTGTGAAAACGTCACCCTCCCCAATGGGTGTTAGTAAGGCCAGGTCCTCAGTCACACCACAGTAAACAAGAACTCGGTGAGTAAAGCAGAGCAGGCCATTGTAAGGTTATCAACCAGATTTGGGTCTCTAGCACAGTTCTGGGAGCTCTGAGTAAGTTCTTTAAAATAGCTATGTTCTAGTAAAAGAAATTTCTTAAATAACATAAAATCAAAACTGATACTTGAGAGCAGTTCCAAAGTATGCCTCTAACGTGCCCTGTAGGTATTAATGGTAACTACCCTGATGCACTTTGAGGAGATGACAGGAAATAGTCTATGGAAGCTGTCCCACAAGGATAAGTACCCCAAACAACTAGATTCCTGTAAAGAGACTTGGGGGACTTTCAAATGCTCAGATCGTTATTGTGGTTATCAGCAAGCGCTTTGGACCCAAGAAAGCTTTGCTGCCTGAAAGACTGCGCCCTGCCTTACTTAACTTAATGCTTCTTGCAGGAAGTTATTACGATTGCTCTTCCTATCATGAGTGCATGGGAAGGGAAGGTTGGGGATTATCCCACAAGGGAGAGAACACCCGATTTCCCAGGAGAACTCTAGGAAAGGGCAGTGGCAAGCTTGCTTCACAAATACCAACCCATAGAATCTCTGCTGCAGCAAATGGCACCAGGCAATCTGATTCCTAATGAAAACAGGGTGAATGAGGAAGAGTGAGGTTGGACATACGGAGAAGAGATCAGCAGACTGATCATGAGAAATGGACAGTCTGAGATTCTTGGGCTTGTGGAATTAAAGGGAACTGTGTCTGTTCCAGGTATGGTTGTGCAAGAAGCCAAGTTCTGTGTCATACAAGGGGGTGTGCGGGGGGGTGTCTAATGATCAGGTCTGCCTAGAAAGCATTGGTTTCAGTATTTACCCCTGCCCTCTCCTTCTATGGAAATGAGTAAAGAGTTAACAGATAGATTCTCAGTGGCCTGAAGGGAAAAGTTTAATTGCATTTTTATCTTAAAAATATTCCACTTTAATTTCAAAGACATTTTGTTTTCCACCTGTCTCCTATCAGGCACCTCCATTTATGAACTAAATTAAAAAATAATTAATGGATTCAGCTAAAGGAAAAGAGGCCACTATTATGAGAAGTCCAGCTAAAATCTGAAACTTCTAAATTGGTGGTCTGATTCTCTTTTGTAATCTTCATTCTAGTGTTTCAAACAGGGACAGTTTGCTTTTGAAAAGCAGGTAAAATACTGCTGTGCTCTGGGTTTGTAATTCTGGAAAGCAAGAGAGGGGATGTGCTTTTCACATCTCACTGCAGAACTTAGGTGTGGCTCTCCTTATGGTCTTCCGAGATGCTAGGACCATGTAAAGGAGAGGGGCTGGGAGGGGACACAGGGTCAGAGGGAACAGCTAAAGATCCACAGGAAACTTCACTTCAAAGTTTTAATCTCCACCCCAAGGCTCACACATTCAACTTCTGCAAAAATGACTTTTATCATCCAGAGAACTGGGAATCCAATTTTATCAGCTCAACTCTAAACTCTGGTTGCAGGCATTGTACCTTCAGTATATTGACTGTACTAAAATGTCCTTGGATCTGAAGAGGATGATTAAATATAAATGAGACCTTGTCAATGGGATGTTCCACAGGGAGACATTCCTATCCCCATCCAAAACAAAAGCCCCCTAATTTTTAGCAGTGTGAATGCCTTGCTTTGACAGATGTATTAGCATTTTCAAATAGAACTTGGTTTCTTCCACACATAACAATCTTATAGGATCCATCTTGGCATATTGCTTGCTATCCACTCAGTTAAGCCTTCCCTTGGGGGTACATCTGACCTTGTGCAGTGATGGATACCTCCTGCTGGGCCCTGGTTCTGATGCTGTTTGGTTGACAGGACTCCTTGGTTCCTGATTAACTGTGTAATTCCAATTTGGCTCCAAAGGCTCTCAATTAATGAGCCAGTTCCTGAAATTACATCTACCCCTCTTTCCAGATGGATCTTACAGCTTCAGCCAACACTCTGAACAGTTTCGGTCCCCAGGTGGGCCTGGCTCCTGGTGGGCAGTGTTGATGAGCTTACCTTGAATTCATAGGATTCTTCAATGATCACTTCCAACTTGGTGTGCTCTCCCAGGATGGGACGCCCCATTTCTGCAATGCGCCTTTCCTCTTCCTCTTTGCTGGTCAGTGGCTGCTTGTCATCGTATTCATCTGTGAAAGGGAAGTATCAGAGAGTGAGCACTGTGTTCTGTTTCAATGGGAAATCCCTGGATGCTGCCATAGGAAAGCCAAGGCGGAAGGAAGCCCTAATGACCTACTACAGCACCCTGGGTGAGATCATGATGTTGGAGGGAAGAGCTGGACAGATGCTTGGCATGTAAGGCAGCATATTACTGTGACAGCAAATGATTATAATGTTTCACAGTCTAAGCTCATGCAAAAGTACGGTTGAGGAAAAGTATATGGGGCATGTCACTGAGAAAGACTCTGCCTTTACATTGTCTATGTTAGGGGACTCACCCAGCTGTTCCCTGTGACTGGCTCAGCCGGCTGTTTGTATACTTTCTGCAGCACGTGTCCAAAGGGAAACACAATTGAAACTCCTACAGTGACCCTGAGAGATGACAGAGTCTGGCCTCTTCCTCTCCACTTTCTAGGGGCAATAGAAAATGCCTGAGGCCCAAAGAGATGGGGAACAGGAAATTCTGACTTTAGTCTCTCTCTTGCCAAGAGACCCTGTTGCAAGTTAAACAGAAAAATATCCATTCCATGCTTCTATGAGATTCCTGGGCTCCAGTGCTGCTTCTATCTGGTGCAAAGCCAAAATGTGTTAGGAAAACCTTGACCATGTTAATCTTAAAGTAAACAGGGAGGGCGAGGGTGAGGCCTTTCGGGAGTTAAAATACTCACTCGCTGTGTCAGCATGATTATTTCCAGAACCACCATGTAGCTTACAGTCCAGGAAAGGATAGTGGGTGCTGAGAAAATGTTAATGGATCCAAGAGCCCATTAATGAGGGGAAATTCACAGTTGGGTGTCTTTGTGTTAAGGTCATTAGGATAAATCCCAGACTGAAAAGGCCATGCACATAAGAAGGACAAACACCCGTCCTGTAATTACCCTTATCCTTTAGGCCCAGAATGCTGAAACAAGACAAGCTACTTCTCAGAGTCAAGAAGAATGAACATTGTCTCCAATGAAACAATATCAGTGACATGGAAAGACCTGAGCCCTGATGGCCTCACTTCTAGGATTTCTGGACAAAGTGCCTCCAATAAGGGGCTGTTGACTGATGAGGCATCAAATAAAAAGAATGTTTGGTCCTGGCTTCCTGCCTGGTGTACCTAGACATTAGCTTCTGTAGAAGTCCATACCTCCCATTAATTCCAAAGGCCCATGGCCTTTCCTCTGCTGAGGGACCCTGCTATGGTGGCTCCATCGTTGCTTTGGCAACTGTTGGAGGGAATGGTTCCTAGGCTAGCTGCTCACTGCGAGGGCAGGGAGCAAATGGGCTGGAGGCACTGCCAGCATTTAATATTTCAAACGTCAAAACCAACAAAAGCAAAAGCAGAATGTAGCATATTGATTAATTCTTTAGTATACATTTTATAGTGTCTTCCTAAAAGCCTATTTTAAAATCTGCTTTCCTAGCCTCAGAGATTGCAGGGCACCTAAGAAATTAGATGAAGACTAAAAATTAATGATTTTGGACTGACCAGAAGCTGCTGGATATTAGCAGAGGCAAAGGAGAGGGGCAAGGAGATTAATTTTAATTGTAAAAGTGGTAATATTTTTTATAGTAGAATTGGGAAGTCATGACACAACGGAAGGCAAAGGGTTCTGGTTGGAATCTCCAAGATTTGTCCTAGCAAAATTATGTGTGTCTAGTCAAGAGAGTTGGCTGAGACACATGAAGTGCAATTTATCGATCACTGATATTAATCATTTTGATTACCACCGCTTTCTGATCCTTGTATCCAGGATAATGTTACTGGTAGTTTTCATAGCAGTAGTTTATGTTAGCATCTTTGTTTGAAACTTCGGTTGAACATGGATGAGTTGAAGACAACATAAAACAAGAACGGTTTTCTCAGAAGGAATATTACAACTTGGACATCTGTTTAAACTGTGAAGCCATTGGGAGAGAATATTTATTATAGCCTTCTTTTTGTGGTTTACTTATAAATGATAAGTTGCTTTTAATGGGACTTAAGGCAATCTACATAGAAAAAAACAGAGAAATTACAAAAGAAAAGTGATGTGGTAGCATTGGTAAATGCAGCATTTCACATCATTGGATCGGTTTTGATCATGGTATTAAAAAACTGCACATGGATTGAGTAAATGAAGTCAAAACATACAGTGAGTGAAAAGGTTCTTTCTTTTCCAAAAATTCTTCAGTCTTTCTGATCAGGAAGAAATGCTTAATTTAGTGCTGTTAGGTCTGTAACTAGGTCCTAATATTTAGATTTGTACCTTTTAAGATAGACAGTCAAAATAGTTCTCAGGGATAGAGCGTTTGCCATTAGCCAGCTAGAACTGAATAACTTTTTTCCATTGTGAAAATTTTTAAATTTTACTTTCTATTTATGGCAAATGATACTAGTTTTTCTTAAAGTTGTCTTTAAAAAAACTTAGTAAAGTTTAAACATGAGGCAATTTAAAACATTGCATCAAGCAAATAGCATACTTGGTATGCAACAAAAGCAAAAATTGTAAAGGAGGCATGGGAATGACAAAAATTGTGAAGGAGTTATGGGAATGACAAAAATTGTAAAGGATGTATGGGAATGACAAAAATTAAGGGAATATTGTCTTAGCTTCATATTAGCCTGAAAAATAGTAAGGCACCTTGTTTCTGTCATTTGCAACACTCTTGCTTCAAATGGACTGGGATTTCTTAATTTCACGCTTTTATCCTGTTGTGTATTCACCTGGAAAAGCTTCACAATTTCCATTTGGTTAAATCTTACTTATCTTTCAAAACCCCACCTCTTCTGGCATGAAATAACTCCCTATTGCTGACTGAGGGGATTTAAGAACTACCACTCCAACCTTACATTAATTCCTTAATATTTGTTGTGTGTATAAAGCATGGACATTTTCATATACTGTTCTTAAATTTCTAGTTACCTTTACCTACAAATATCCAGCATATAAACTCACTGAAATAGAGCATTATGTCTCATTGCACTCTGAATCATCCTTGCGTCCTCTGGCGCCTATTACAATATATGGAATATAGGAGGTGCTCAGTATGTATTTACTGTGTGACTCTCCAACTCACTGTTAAGAAAGGCTTTTAGTTGTTCAGCCCATAAAAAGGGATCATTTTTTCATTAAGCATGTCACTGTACTCCATACCATGTTAGAACAGCTGGAGTCCTCCCCTCCCCCCTCTACCTTCCAGGAACTTTATGACGTATCGGGGAGAGGAATATGTGATGGACAACTTCTAGGTATGCTAAGGACTAGGGGACCAGGGTTGAGGGAAGTAACTCACTTGGCCTGAGAGAGTCAGGGAAGGAAGCCTCAGGAAAGAGGAGCTATTTGAAGTTGGCCTTGAAGCACATACAGAAGATTGCCTGGTGAAGGTGATGGTAAGGATGGCTAGGAGGTGGTGGAGTGAGAAGGTTCATTCCAGGCAGAGAGAAGTCAAAGTACAGTGGTACAGGGTCATGGAAGGGTCAGGGCGGTTTCTACTTAAGTATCATAAACTTTTATTTATATGTAACTGAGAAATGGCGGCTGTATAGATTCCATTACTGCTCTACAGTTATACTGATAAATTCACATTTATGGTTTAGATTTTTTGACTGGCAAAAATGAGAGCTGGGTCTATTTTTTAACAAAACTGTTCTCTCTTCTCTCTTTAGATACTTTCTGTTGAATAGGGAAAGGGTTTGATAGCACTTTTAAAATTTTAATCATCTGTTTTGTTTGTTTCCTTTTCTCTTTGAGCACTGGATCAAAAGCAGATCATTTCACTATGGCTGAGGTCAGTTTCATTTCTTTACTTCTGCAGAACAAGATAACATGCTGTGGTTTTAGTTTTGTTTCTCAGATGGAAAATATATTCTCTTTCTCCTCCTGAGTGTACATGCACACTTTAAAATTCACCATATTTTATTGAGAAGTTGGGAATAAATTACACAACATCATAGTCTTAACCAATCCAAACAACTTAAAGATCAAATGCATAATTAACAGCCACTGTTAAAATCAATATTGACAGGACATAAAACAGTCCTGGGATAGATTCACCAGTGGAGGTTCTCCCTTCTCCTGAGTAATTGATTTTACAAACAACAGCAAATAATAAAAGCTAATAGGTACCTGGCATCTGGGAGAAGCAGCATTTTGAGAAAGTTGTTGGGTTTTTTCTTTTTTTTTTTTTTTTTTTTTTTTTTTTGAGATGGAGTCTTGTTCTGTCTCGGTGGTATAATCTGGGCTCACTGCAACCTCCGTCTCCCGGGTCCAAGCGATTCCCCTGCCTCAGCCTCCAAGGTAACTGGGATCACAGGTACCTGCCACCATGCCTGACTAATTTTTGTATTTTTAGTAGAGATGGGGTTTCACCGTGTTGGCCAGGATGGTCTCCATCTCCTGACCTCGTAACCCATCTGCCTCAGCCTCCCAAAGTGCTAGGATTACAGGCATGAGCCACTGCTTCCGGCCAGAAAGCTGTTTCTAATGCTGTCTGGTTCAAGCTGCATTTTGAAGCAGTATCAGTGTAAGAGATGAAGTGCCAGGAATGGGAAAACAACACAACCCATAAGGTCTATCTCATTATCAACATCTCTACCTCAGGGGACACTGTTGATAATCTTTAATGCAGTCACATTTAAAACTGTACGATGTCGAATTTGGAGAAATGTACAAGGCCAGTGGTGGGACAGTTTGCTCCAGTTCATTTTGATCCTCCACTCAGAGCTATGCTGACAAGTCAGAAAGCAGAGGTCTCTCTTGGCACTTTTTAGCACGTGGCTGGCCTCTTTGATTGGAGGCTAAGGAGACTGATACTTTTATTTCCATTAGGAATATTTGGATCAGCTCTGTAGTCAGGGCTGGGTATCATGATTATTGAACAGGTGTGTGGGATATGAGGATAAGAAAAGTCTTATTGTGTCAGGCGGATGCATTTCTACTGCCATGGCCAGTGTGGGCAATAGTGATGATTAAAGAGTAAATATCTCTGTCATCATCCAGAGGTTCCATGTAAGGAGATGATATTTGGGCTCTAAACCTATAATGGATCTGGGATAGCTGTGTAATCCTCCAGTCACCCTGTATTTTCCCGATGGAGAAACCCCACAGATGTACTATCATCTTTGCATCTCTGGTAACATCATGTTGCCTGGGGGTAGCAAGGGCAGGCTCTGGGAAGAAATACAGCTCAGCTTTAAAAAATACTGCATGGCTGGGCATGGTCACTCATTCCTGCAATCCTAGCACTTTGGGAGGCAGAGGTGGGTAGATTGCTTTTGCCCAGGAATTCCAGACCAGCCTGGGCCACATGGTGAGACACCGTCTCTACAAAAAATACAAAAAGTAGCTGGGCATGGTGGTGTGTGCCTACAGTCCCACCTACTCGGGAGGCTGAGGTGCGAGGATCCCTTGAGCCCAGGAGGTTGAGGCTGCAGAGAGCTGTGATTGATTCCACCACTGCACTCCAGCTTGAGTGACAGAGATGAATCCCCATCACAAAGTAAATAAATAAATAAACTTCATTATACTTGGGATAAAAACTGATGGTGAGAAAAAAATATTTGCAAGAAATCTGGAATATATTGAAACTCAGGAGAGAGAGGCCACGGGATCATTCTTCTCTGTAGGCTGATGCTGCCCCCTCCTCAGTGCTCTTTTTCTGCCCCGATGTCGTTGTGTTTTGCTGTGATCCACCATACCACTGGCTGCCAGAGAAGCTGTAGCAGTATTTAGCAATGTTTTAGAGCAAGAGGAGAGCGGCTAAAATGCATAACTCTAATGTCTCAAAGATTAAAGAACTCTTGGAGGCTGTGGTTTTCAAGGATCATGATGAAATGAGTACCTGCAATGGTGATTACAGTAGAGGGAATCGGATGTTCTCTAGCATGAACCTTCCTGAAGACAGGTTGGCCTAGCAAAAGGACAGGCAGAAAAATCAGCAGAATGGATTGCATTGATTTGGTATCAGAGATTTGTGGAATTAGTAAGCTAAACATCACACTCAGATGCACACATCACAAGCAATGTTAGTTTGGGGATTAAGTGGTCATAGGTCACCCCTAGGTAGGTCACAGAAGGGAGCTCTGGTGGAGGTTACTGATGGAGGTCGGTCACTGCTCAGAGATGGGGAAGTATTTCATGAGTCAAACCAGCCTATGTTAGCAAACCACAAGCCCCATGGTAGTGGGTACAGCCAGATTCTTACAGGTGTCTTAAATGGGGTATCAACGTCCTTCAAGATACCGCTTCCAGAAGCATCATGGAGCAGGTGTTGTGGTTGTGAAGCCTGTTCATGCCAACGATATAGCCTTGAATAGGCCATTTCTCCAGTTTCTCCCCATGTAAAATGATGATAATAGTACCCGCTCTGTCTATGTTACAGGTTTGTTTGAGGATCAAGTAACACAACATCTGGGGATATGCTTAATACATTTATTTTCTGAGCAGTGTGAGGGGGAGAGCGTTATGTACACCTGCTGGTTTTGCAAACGTAGGTCATCATCACAGCAACTGTTTGGATAACCTAGGGTTAACATAGGCCTAGGGTTGTTATTGAACTCCTGGTTCAGCAGACTTCCAGATTCACTTGCTTTTTGCCTCCACCAACAGCTACCCGTAACTGACTTGGGCATCATGAGATTCGGGATTCAGTGCCACCTCTGCCATATGCTTGTCAGCTAAACTTGGGCAAGGTCTTTCTCCTCTCTGACTCTCAGGCTTCTCAATTCTAAAGCGAAGCTGGATTTGAAGGGGCTTTGTTCCTCCAGCCTGCATACTGAGGTGATGAAAACATTTTAAACTGTCAGAATTTTCACAGTTTGGCTTCCTTAAAAAGTCTCGTGTCTTATTAAGTGTATTATGTGATGAGCACAGTATGATTGGAGGAGTAATATTAAATAGTTATACTGACTGATATAAATTTTAATTAATTAGAGAACTCTATAATTGCATGTCTTAGAAGTTCTGGGGGTCTAACATACATTATTCTCTCCATATTGAGCCAGAATACTTAATTTATTAAACTATTCATGTTTATATGGTCTAGTTTCCCCCTTCTGGGGTACTTCTCATTTTTTGTTTAACTGGAATGTATAATGATGGAACTTATTAGATAGATCTGGGTTTTAAGTAGAAAAGGGGTTCAGTGTATAATTTCAAGATGCAGGTAGAAATAAAGACGCTAGAGGGGATGAAACAGAACAGTGCTGGGGTGGGGGAGGTCCTCATTAATTCCTTTAAACCTTCAGTTCCTCCCCTATATATGAGAACAATAATGTCTTACACCATAAGGTTGGTGATAAAGTGATATAATGAAAAAGAAATCTTTACAAACTCTAATGAGCTATAATATTTGGAGTGTTATCTTGTCATACGACTGGAAGGTCAAAGGGGAATGAGATCATAGGCCCAAACAAGGGTCTTTCATTGAGGCAAGGTCTGGAAAAAATAGGTAAAGTCTGTAGATTCCAAAAGCACATGCAACACTTAATGTCCACCATGAATGAGATCTCTGAAATACTGGTATTAGGTTGTGGATCAGATGACTTTTTCAATTTCCATATATCCTGCTTCAAATTTAGATTTTTCACATTCAGCTGCACAAGTCCATGTAAAAGCTGCAGGCAAAGTCCCAGGGCTAGATTAATTCTTCTTACTGCCTCTGCATCTCAAAGCCTGGACTTCAAAGCCTCCAACTGACTTCAAAGAAAAGTTCTTTAGGGCTTAAAGCTGCTTTTCGCTGTAGACCTAAGTTTTAGAACTGTCCTCAGGGGCATCAGTAGAGAGTGGATCCTAGGCATTCTGGTTTGATTTAGGAGAAGAAGGGTCATGTAAAGCGAGAGAGTTTCTAGGAAAGTAGGAATGGACAGGCCAGTGCAGAAATTCCCAGAGTTCTGGGACAGTCTCTTATTCTGACTGCATTACTTTTAAGTCTTGGGAAGAGGTGATAGCAATAGAAAAACTGCCATTTCAGATTAAAGTTTCAGCCGTAGGAAGAATTTAACTATATGAAATGATAGACACCTCTGGAGGAGGTGATTCTGTCATCTTAGATGCCAGATATGGCCAACACAGGAAATGTTGGACATTACCAGAATTTGATGTGAGGGAGTTCTAAGAAAACTAGGATCCCATTAACCAAGATACTAACAGAGAGTATGGCTGAAATGACATAGAAGGGCCTTAAAACAAAATCCTGACATATTCAATAATAGAGAAAACAGATATCTGAACACATCAGTGCTTTTTAACAGAGCATCCTAGTAGCCACAGATTTTTAGTTAAGGTCTTTTTTTTTTTTTTGAAACAGAGTCTTGCTCTATCATCCTGGCTGGAGGGCAGTGGTACGATTTCAGTTCACTGCACCCTCCGCCTCCCAGGTTCAAGTGATTCTCCTGCCTCAGCCTCCTGAGTAGCTGGGATTGTAGGCACGCACCACCACACTGGCTAATTTTTTGTATTTTTAGTAGAGACAGGGTTTCACCATGTTGGTCACACTGGTCTCCAACTCCTGACCTTGTGATCCACCTGCCTTGGCCTTCCAAAGTGCTGGAATTACAGGCGTGAGCCAGCGCACCTGGCTTAGTTAAGGTCTCTTTATCAGGCTTTATAGGATGGAAGGTGCTGTTGGATAGAATACTATTTCTATAATGGTTGACTTTAAAACATTATTACTTCACTCATAAAGACTGGCTTGCCAAATTTCTACATTTTCAAATCTCCCAGGGATAACTAGTTTATCCGTGGGTGACAGAGTATTTACAAGGGGACTTCAAGCAGTTAAAATGATGGAATGAGAAAAAAGAGACAAAAGTGTTAAAAAAAAATAAGTATAAATTCCTGCAGTTGATTTAAGAAATAACCTTTAGTGGTGCAGAATTGGGGCGATCTGACCTGAAAGAGCTTCAGATGAATCAGATTTAAGAAGTCCAATACAAAGACTTGTCCTGTTTAACATTTTTATCCCTTTCAACTTCTGTGTCTCCGAAAGTCTATGAATCATTTTGTCAGTAAATGCCATGTCTAGAGAGAAGCAGTGGAGAGCAAAAGCCCATGTGAAATTGCCCACATGCAACTGCACATATTTAGAAAATTCTACTTTGGACAGAATCACATTGGAACTGCTTGTTCATGAGTTTACACTAATAGTGGATTAAGCTGATCCCAATTCCTGACATGGTATTTTCACTATTAGAAATTTGAAGACTATTTCCTTCTAAATATTTTTGTTCAGATCTCTGATTGATATCTCACAATATATTGGAAGATGTCACATAGTGATATAGGATGTAGGCCATTAAAGACATCTTCAGCCTACAGCTTCAGACAAATCAGCCCTGCTGTTTAAAAATTTATCTCTCTCTCTAAATGTGCACAGATGACTCTGAAAGGGTGAGAAGATACTTAGAGACAAAAGAGAAGGCTGTAAGGAAATATCTTTGTTTTGTACACAAGAATATAGCTTTAGAGTTGTGTTAAATAATGCAGTGAACACAGGCTGAGTACCATTCTAAATTTAAGTGTTTTAAACTTGTTTATTGACATTTTGAGTTTTTATAGAGTATTTTGTAATATACTTAAAGTGGCAGATATAGTACTTGTCACCATGTTATTAATACTAAAACCTAAGTCCCTAGAGAGATGCTCAGATTGGTGTGATAGGATGAGGGGAAGGCTGTGCTCAACATAGTATTATATTATGTGTTATAAATTATGTATTTGTATAATTTATGAATTTTTTTGTGGAAAAATTATGTATTTTTATGTATTTTCTCAACATGTCATTTATGTATTATTAGGATCCTGAGCTTGAACCATGGATCTATCTTAGAATGTCAGCCCCTGTGTTTCTCTGAGGCTAGCACTTATGTCTTATTTATTCTAGTGCTCTTTGGAGCCTCTATCAGGGCACTGTACATTATTTGGCACTATGTGAACATTCGTAAATTGACCAGTGTCAAAATATGAACAATTACAATTTCTCCGTATGAGCTGCTTATAAACATAACACACACACGTTATTAATTTGTAAAATGTAAAATCAGCAAGAGCACACCATGTGCCACAGTTAAATATTAATGTAGGTTACATAAGATGTGGGTTTGGATTGATTGTTAAGGGTATTTGGGGGAAAATAAGGAACATTTAAAAAATAGTCTTACCATACAGGTATTTTCCTTCATTAAAAGCAAATAAAAGTGAGAAATTTTTTTTAATGTAAGAACATCTGGTAAGAACAGACAATAAAAATAAAATTAGATAGCATTAGGCTCATAAAATTCATACCTGTTATTGTGAAGCCACCTAAAAAAGAAAAAAAAAAGTGTTATAATTTCACTTACACTCTATATGACAAACACCAGTGACATCAGACTGTCCAACAACCCACCCAAGGTATTTGCCAAATTATAATTAAGAATAGGAAAACACTCATGACTGAATCACTAATCATTCTTTTAAGATTATGGAATTTAATGCCCAATTTAATTCTTTTGCATACCTAAGAAATCACTGATTTTTTTTTTTTTTTTTTTTTTTTTTTTGAGACGGAGTTTCGCTCTTGTTACCCAGGCTGGAGTGCAATGGCGCAATCTCGGCTCACCGCAACCTCCGCCTCCTGGGTTCAGGCAATTCTCCTGCCTCAGCCTCCTGAGTAGCTGGGATTACAGGCACGCGCCACCATGCCCAGCTAATTTTTTGTATTTTTAGTAGAGACGGGGTTTCACCGTGTTGACCAGGATGGTCTCAATCTCTTGACCTCATGATCCACCCGCCTCGGCCTCCCAAAGTGAAGGTTGCACTAAATTAAAAATGCAATATAAACTATTTGACCTTGACAAAATGAGGTCAATGGCCCTGAACAACAATATTGCTAGCAAATCAAGAGAAATAAAAGTCAGAGAGCTACTATATCACCTGACAGAAATGGAAAATCATCTAGAAAAATGGAAAGGAAATGCAAGAAATGAAATGCTTACCAAGCTCATTCAATAACAGGGCTGTGAAGGAAACAGACAAAGACAAACACAGAATAAGAGACCAGATGAATAATGAAAGTAAGAGGAATATCAGCAGAAAGAAATCCAGGCAGATCTGATTTAGAGTGGTAGGGAGCCACTGCTAAAAATATGTACACCCCAAAGAAATACAACATTGGGAATAAACAATCCCAACTGAAATTTCTGAAAATGTGTGTGATTGAACACATACATATATACACACACACATATATATGTGTGTGTGTGTGTGTGTGTGTGTGTATATTTCACCTTATATGTAATTTCTTTACATTGAATAAGACATTTCTATTCTCTATATCTAGTATATAAATCTAGTCTACCAAATACAGTAGAAACACTGTATGAAATTCATTTATAACTTGATATAAGTGAGCTTCCCCATTAAATATTGCCTGGGATTGGGTCAATCCAATGTAATGGAAGTCTTAAATCACCCAGGATCTCAGACATTACTCCTTTTATTCAATAAGTACAGGTGAAACATCCTGGGAAATTCCATTTAGCATTCCCTGCCTGGAGGGGGAGTTTAGACCAAGGTAAAGCACTGTCTTGGAATGTATCTGGATGACATTTTGTCCACCAAGAATTGCTTATGTTTTAAAATCCTTAAAGCCTAATAGTTCCAAGAATTAACACCTGTTTGTGTCCTTATCTGTGACTTCTGCACATTATTAGATAACCAGAATTCTTCTAGTGGACATATAATCCCATGAAACTGACAGGGCATTGGGGCGGGGGGGGGGGCGATATAATTTATACAGTTTGTCTTTCAGGTTATGTGCTTTAAACCCAGAATGCACTGTAGCACTTTATTTTAGTAAAAGGAACCTCGCTAAATATATCAAAGTATTTCCTGAGTTGAAGATGGGAATGTTGCAATTACTTTTTGGACCCAGTTTTCTCTCTCATGATAATGGCATTAGAGGATACTTCTAAAGAAAGTCAGTAATTTGTTTATAATGACAAGAATCCACCTGGAGAGCAAAACTGGATAGTGTTATTAAGGAATTTTAATTTGCTGTTACGTGAGGACATTTTTTACAAAAATGACAATTGAAAGAGCAGAATCCAAGATGCTCCTCCTTGAGATAAAAGAGAGTTCTTTGGAGAAATACATTTAGAAAAGTGTGTTTTCCTGTATATTAATGAGGCATTTTGGATACCATCTTTGTAAGGAATCCGCACAATTTTCTGGTCTCCTTTTCCTCTGTCCATGGAGCATATTAAATAGGCTGCATTAAAACGGATCTTGAGTGCTCCTTTTCCCATCACTCCGAAGGCTCCCGTTGCCATCTTGAACTTGATTAACACAGGGGCATATGTGTTCTTCTCCCTAATGAACTCTGAGGCTAATGAATTCTCAAAAACATGGGATAAATTTTCCTATATGTCTAAATAGCAGTAAGTCCTATATGTTTTATTTTTCCCTCTACATGTAAAAGCATAAATTTCTTACAAAGTGGCCCATCTCATCATATCATAATGCTCTCACCAATTGTTTGTATGCTATTAATAAGAGCTATTACTATGTGGTCTGCTCATTTACATAACAAATAAATCAACAGAATGTCTTTTAAAATGGCCATGATTAGAGGATAATTATATGAAGCCCTATTAACAATGCAGAATGAAAAATCCTCTGTAAAGCTGATAGAAGATTGCTATCTTCCTTATGAAATATAGGCCATATATTAATAAAATAGGTATCTAAGGAAGAAAAATTAGTTTGTTCGAATAGTTTCTAAAAATGTAAGTACAATCAGCAACGTCTAGTTATAAAAGACACTTATTTTTTATTTTTACTATATATGTTAATAATTGATTAATTCAATAAGGAGCAAGAGATTTTGGATCATATGGCTAGGTAGGCCTTCACCAAGGGTTAACATCTTACTGAAGGGGCCTATTCTTCTGACCAAAGAAAATTGATATGAGCTATGACTATGGTTTCATATATGAGGTGCCTTTTAAATGTCATATTTGATGATATAAAAATATGCTAAAATGAGCACTAGAATATTGATAACACTACTCTTTAAGGATCTTTGTTCTTATTAAAATTTTTTAAACGGTGTTCTCTAAAGAAGACTAATTACTGAATTCTGAAGTTTCCTGTTAGTTGCCATTAGGGTCACTTACTAATATTAACAGGTATTAAGCAGTTTCTTTTTTCCAGCTTTATTGAGGTATGATTGACAAGGTATTAAGTAGTCTTTATCACTAAGATTTTAGGGGAGATTTAATCATTAAAGTGACATTTTAGAATAAACCGTGAGTAGTGGAAAACTAAACACATTATTTTATCTAATTTCTGAATTACAGAAATCTCTTCCAGTGTTATTAAATCTGGTTGCAATCAAGGTTAGTTGGCATTTCCTGAAGAGAGTGGGCATTGCCTGTTGCACTTGTGAATTAGGGAAGGGAAATGAAACTGCTAAAGATTCAAAGGCAATGAAGTATAGTACTTGGAAGCCGAGGAAGAGGAGAGAGTTAAGTGTGAGAGTAGGGAGACACGGAGAGAGAAGAGTACAATTTCTCGCTGGTATGTCTTTGTTTACTCTCACACCTTTCATTCCTCTTCTTATCCATTTTGGTTCCTCAAGCACAAGGGAGAAACTGCACTCTTTCTCATATTCCTCACGGTCAAATATTCTAATGGTAATGATCTTCCTGTGGGAACACAAGACAAAGGCAAAACAGATGGTTGGAGTCACACGCTCATGCTCTTGGTGTCCACCAAGCTGAATGTTACTGTGATGTTATGGAGGGAGAACCGGCAGCACATGGACCTCCTGCAGTATGTAAAAGGGCATCTTGGTACCCTCGGCTGGCACCCATTAAGTTTTCTTTGCTCATTTTAGTACCCCAAATTAGGAAGGTAAATCAGAAAGTTGCCTTCCTTTTTGGCATTGCATAGCGTCTGCAGCAACTTTCCCGGAAATGGACGCTTGATTGACTGCCCTGAAAATTAATCTCTCAGATGTTAATGTGCAGAGCAACCAACGCTGGCGGATGTAGCTGCGGGCCCGCCCACCATGGCTCAGCACGAGATCTGTGCCCTGTTACATAGGTGGAGGGATGTGTGCACTGAAAGTCACGTTCTGAAGAGTGCAGGCATCCAGGGGTGGCACAGGCCAGCAGAAGCTGTTGGGCTCAGCCCTGGAGCAGCTCCCCCACCTTTCTTCTCACTCATCTCCACCAGGCGGGGCTCTCCAATCTCAAGGAAGAAGGTCTTGTTTTTCTCATACTCCTCATCATCAATTACCTTGACTGATATTGTTTTGCTGAAACAGAGAATAGAAATTGACGAACAAGGGGAAGAGGAAAGAGAAGAGAAGGAACATAGAGAAGAGGAAAGCAAGGTTAACCAGTTGCACTTTCAGACTGACAGTAATCGAGAAACTTCTGTACTGTGAGTTTTTTCTTCAAGAATGGGTATCAGATAGGTATGAAAGATCGGAGAGGTCACCCAGTGCACGGCTCCCCTGCCCAGGGCCACAGAATTATTTTAGGTAAAACACAGCATTAAGTACTAATAGGTCTGTCATCATAAGAAGGAAAAGCGGAAAAACACAGATCATAATTATAAGAAAAGAAAAATTATTAATTTAGTAAATGCCTCAACCATTGATTGTCTAAGCTGTGCCCTGGAGTTTACTCCTTTAGAACAAGTAAAAAAACCCATCAAAATATTAATAAAGGTTATCTCTCAGCAATAGGCTTACAGGTCATTTTTTCCCCTTCATTGTGCTTTATTATAGTTCCAAACACAATATTTTATCATAAATTGTTATTAAAATAAATGAATAAAAACATCACAAAGAAAATAAAGTCAAATTATCTCACCCCACCCAATGTCTTAGGATCAAATTCTTATTCAGGTTAGTCAGTTTCTCCAGCTAGACCACAGCAGGAAGTCGTTCATGTTTTGTTTGTCTTTCTAAAGATGGAAGCTGTGGCCTCACAACAGCGGTTTTGAAAGTGGGGTGGCAGCAGGTGGGAGTCATGATGATGTAGTTATTTTTTTTCTCCCAAAGTTGAGTTTTAACCTTCTATGAAACACGGCATTTACACTACTTTCAAACATCGCCAATACACCGAGGTGTTTTGATGAGAATTCTTCCTGTAATCCAACCTTTAGCAGTTCTTGCCCTATGGTCCTATGGCTATGAGTGACTGACGGACCGGTAGGACAAATGCAAATATTTTGCAAATCCCAACTTTCCATAAGCATTCTTGATGACCATGAAAATAAACCAATCTAATGTTACCTTTTAATTAATAAGGACTTAAACACTTCATATACTACAACTTATTAGAAGGCTCTTAAACACTGATTTGTCTTGAACAATGTTTCCAATAACATTGGCGAAGAACAATTCTGATCAATGTTTTTGAAACAATGAGTGTTTGTAGACACAGAGTTTTAACAGCATGGACATTCTTTAATTTTGGTGGAGATTTTTAGGCCTTCTGAAAGGAATTTGGTTTATAATCTTGTTTCATTGTATTTATCCAAGCCATCAAGTTTCATTAGATCTATGCATGCCAAAGAATATCAGTCTTCTTTCCTAATATGAAGGAGTCATAGGTAGAAGATACTTTTAATTCTCTGAATTTCCCAGCCCCTAATGCCATATGTGTAAGTCTTGCTTTTTGGCTCAGCATTGTAGAACTGAGACCAAATGATTGGTTCTGGTCCCCTGAAACCCAGTAACATACTCTCTGTTTCTCAGCTAAAGAACATCCCTGAATGATACTTACATTCCAATTTCTCACTCCTGAGAAGCTGCAGGTCATGAGACTGCCTTTTCTATCTCAGCTCTGTCCTCAAATACTGAAATATGAACCCTAGATGAACAGCTATAAGTGACTAAAGCCACAATCATTTTTTAAAGAGTAGTTAGATATTTATAAAACTACCAACAGCATGATAATGTCCAGTTACATGTATACTGTGAACAGTTCCTTCCTTTTAGAACTATTGTTTAGAATCCATTTAGTATAAAAATTAGCCTGTGGTGACTACACTAGAGTATTTCATTGTTGCCTAATATCCAAAAAATATAAAATATTAGAGAAAGAACAAGAGGATGGAAGTAAGGAGCGATGATTATTTGTTCATTAGAACTGAATTTGATGTTGTAAATTAGGTCAAATTTACCCTACACAAAACTGCCAAATGTCTCTCCTCTTTGTCAACAAAACTTATGAATTTTGGTTATTCATTTCCATCTCACAGTCTTGCAATCGTAAACGTTAGTTGTACATTTCTATGAATACAGCATGGTGAGACCAAGGGTAGGAAAGTGCTGCTGGACAATGAAAGGGCCATGCTACTGTACTCCAGACTTGATGGTCTGATGTCCATTATCAAGATGTTTCATTGTATGGTACATCAAACTGAAACCCCTCACTGTGAGTCAAGTTGCAATATTCACGTTAGCATTACTTAAAAACATCTGACGTTACATTTCTCCGTTTTGTATTTGCAAACCACTCTGCATCTCATCACTTATTTTATTGGATTATAGAAATAAAGCACAGTGGGGTTAGTAGAAGTGGCCTTGCTAATAGGGCAAATGTGTATAAAAGGTACCCATTTCATGTTCACAATGCAACTTATTCACAAATAAATAAATCACTGAACAACATACAGTTTCTAATCCTTGGTGAATATCATAAGTATTTAAATCCTCTAGTGGATTTTTTTTTTTTTTTTTTTTTTGAGACAGAATTTCACTCTTGTGGCCCAGGCCAGAGTGCAATGGTGCGATCTCAGCCTACTGCAACTTCCGCCTCCCAGGTTAAAGAAGTTCTCCTGCCTCAGCCTCCCAAGTAGCTGGGATTACAGGTGCCCGCCACCACGCCCAGCTAATTTCAGCATTTTTAGTAGAGATAGGGTTTCACTATGTTGGCCAGACTGGTCTGGGACTCCTGACCTCAGGCGATCTGCCAGTCTTGGCCTCCCAAAGTGCTGGGATTACAAGTGTAAGCCACTGCACCTGACCCATTTTCTATACTTTGAATAGCTGATGAGTGTGAGAAATCTAGTTATACAGCTCCACACAATTTGTTTGCATATAAAATAAGCATTTATGATTTATCACTAGTATATCTCTATTCATAAGATCACAATTCTTAGGAAATTTTGAAGTAACTGGTAACTATGATACTGGAAAATCAAAGATGAAGAAAAAGGAAAAAGTGCTTTTGTAGGTCCCTGGCAAAGACATCTAAAACAAATGGAATTTGCATAATGGCATATCATTTCAAAATCGTTAGTAATAGAACCAATAATGCCCCTGACAGGAGGAGCCACTATATTATATATTGATTTGACTCCTCCTGCACAGTAAAGCTATTAATACGAAAGTTGATTATTAAAGGACATTTCAGTGGATCTAAAGTGGCAGGATGAAGTCAGTCCTTATGAATTGGCCCTTTAAATCAACCGAAGCAAAATTCACAAGGCTTTGGTAATGTTCACCTTTCACTTCAGAACAGAACAATTTCTCCCCTTAGCAAAGGTAGCAAAGGTGGAGCAAGCCAATGTAATTTTTAAAGGAACACATCCTTGGGATATCTCCTTCTCACTTTCCAGGGTCTAGTGCATGAAAGATAGTGCCCCCACTTCTTCCTTCACAGGGGATAGTATGTGAGATGGGTTGGTTTGCTGAAGATCCAGTTATTCTGGCTTGATAATCAGCAGAAGCATGCTTCTGTTCCTCACAGTTCTGCAGTAGAAAGAATCTCAAGGACTGATGGGACGTTGAATGCCCTCCAGTCGGCCCCACAGCGACGCCAATCCTGTGTTCACGGGACTTTTGCATTGTCACTAGGATTCCAGTGCCCTGAGAACACACATCCGTTCTTGTTATTCTGTTTTGTTTACTAATGGGAAACATAGCTGTTGCCACTTCTTTAAATTGACAGGTTAGCAAAAACAAGACTGGAACTGCTGGGAAGACATAGGCCTTCATCCAAATACAATTCTTGCGGTATTATTGCACTGATAAGGAACAAACAGAAAAACTGGTATTGTGTAACTTTCAACTATTGCAAAGACAGGAAAAGTCACTTTTTTTTTTTTTTACAGCTTTTCAATTTGAGCAGTATACGAAAAAAATTGTAGTTTCTGGAAACTAGCAAAGCACTTACAAATCTTACGATAGCATTAAAATATTTCTCAATATGGCCAAAATTTTTATGGAAGTATATTTTGGTTCCATTTCTAAAAAAAGAAAAGAAAAGAAAAAATATTCAGTTAAGAAAGATCAATTTATTTCGTGGAAAAAGATGATTCCTTTTGAAGTTTGCAGTAGCTTTTATTTGATGATACCAAACCAACATCTATACTTTACTTCCCAGTCTCTCTCTCTTATCTCATATGTCTCAAAGGACCCGAACACCTTCAAACAGACTACCAAGGAGTTCTTATATCTGGTTTTGACTTAGGCAGACAGTCAGAAAAGAAAGAAAGATGTGTCTTTATTAATAAGGGTTGAAAAAGAAAGTCTCTTCAAAATATATTTTAGTCTCTCATTGTTAAGCCAAAGTGGTTCCACAGTCTCTTTTTCAACTTAAGCCTCAATTTGTCCTTCTGCGGCTTCCTTTCTCTAATGCGGCCCTTGATGTCAGGAGAAGATGAGAAAAGGATGAGCTGGGGGATTAAAGAGAAGAGACTGCTCTGTGTTAGATCCTCACACGGAAGATTTTAGTGAGGATTTCACATATTTAGATGCTTACAATTGCTTTTTGTCTTTTAAGATTTATCCTCTCCTTAGACATACTCAGAGGCCAGTGGAATGATAGGCGCTTTGCATTTCTTAATTCATAGATCTTCATAAGAGCCCTAGAAGTAATTCCTACTACCTGTGATTGGCAGGAAAAACAAAGACTCTCAGAGAAGTTCGTAACTTCCAAGGTCACAAAGTGAGCCTCCTGTGACTGGCTTTAAGAACAGAAACCTTTCAATTACATGACTCAAAATCAACCACCAGGTCCCTTATTCAATCACCAGTGCAGTATTTTTATGGTCACTTTAAAGGATCTAGATCGTTACTTAATATTGAGGTTTATTGTTTCAGCTTTACATTAACAAAGGTTGACTGTAAGAACAATGATAGAATTTCAATTCTGTTTTGAAAAGGACTGCAGCACATGCTATATTCCATGATGGCTGCTTTAAAAGGTAAATCATTGAGGAGATAAAGGTTTAATTAAAAAGAGCCATGAGCATGCAATGGCTTAAAACTCTGAGAACTCTGAATTCAACCAGGAG